AATCGCTACGTAATTGCCATAAGTTAGTAAAGCAATCATTAGAAGAGTATAATTAGTAGAATATCATTCGCAGAAATACTAGTCCAAGCCTTCCCTTGGCCTCGCATGTTTCGGGTGAGTTCTGACTCATCTTAGGCTAGTTTTTTTAATTTATTTTTTCCTACCTGTGCGTGTAGGTGAGCTCTCGGAGCTCAAGCTGGAGGTGTTGCTAACACTGGCCCTAGCAAGAACAGTGCTTTGCAGAATCTACCATCAGATCGAAAATGCGACCCACTGAGAAGATCCGGCGAGAAACTCACTGGGCTGTACCTGTCGGTTAATTTACTCGCTGAGTTCTTCGTCGCGAGCGACGGCTTCGGCGAGAACTGTGACCGGTGTTTGACTTATATGCGTTAATGGATCGGGTGGTACCGTAATGACGTGTTTAAGGCGACGTCTATTGTTTATCATTCGGTCCACAGGATCGGGTATGGCTAGGACGAAGGTTGTTGAATGACAGAGTTTTAGCCGGTTCAAATTTGACATGCCCCGCCCACCGCTCCAGTTGCGTAAACGAAAAACCGTCGACAACTGCTACAAATACATCTCCTTTTTCGGGAATGATTTCGATTTCGGTGTTCGAATCCCGTAAGCGGGTACTAATTTTTGTAATGAAATATGCACTTAACAAATGTTCAGGATTGGCTTCCACGGTGAAGGAATAAGTAACATCGTGTAATAAAAATCAAACCCGCAAAATTATAATTTGCGTAATTACTGGTGGTAGGACCTCTTGTGAGTCCGCACGGGTAGGTGCCACCACCCCGGCTATTTCTGCCGTGAAGCAGTAATGCGTTTCGGTTTGAAGGGTGGGGTAGCCGTTGTAACTATACTGAGACCTTAGAACTTATATCTCAAGGTGGGTAGCGCATTTACGTTGTAGATGTCTATGGGCTCCAGTAAACGCTTCACTATCAGCTCGTCTACCCATCTAAGTAATAAAAAAAACAATAAAAAAACCTTTTAAGACTTGAATTTAGCACTTATTTCTTGTCAGAAATTATATCTGAAAGAATTAAACTAATCATACTAAACTAAGCAGTAAAATGAGAGATCACTCGTTGCCACACCTTGAAAGTATAAAAAAAAAATTGTGTATTAATACATATTATGTACGAGTTTTTATTGCTTAGATGGGTGGACGAGCTCACAGCCCACCTGGTGTTAAGTGGTTACCGGAGCCCATAGACATCTACAACGTAAAAGCGTCACCCATTTTGAGATATAAGTTCTAATGTCTCAGTATAGTTACATACGTGATTGAATAATACTTAAATATTGGTTGATACGGCAATTTCAGAAATGATGTGTAGAAATTCAAGGGAATCGCCGCTTTTATCAATATTTCTAAGCTTTGATATTTGGATATGAATCATTTTGTTTGCGATTTTTAAATATATGGCATTGTGATGTTGTATTAACAAATTTTTCGCGTTTTTGTTATATTAATCACGTCATGTCAACGTTCGAATTTTACCTAATCGTGTTATTAAAACCTCCGTTTTAATGCCAGAAATTACTACATTCATTTTTTAAAGGATTTTATGACCTGGTAACTAAGACCTTTAGGTCAAGTCTTATTTTAATTATAATGAACATTCACTACTTGCGTTCCCGCCAAAAAGTCACTAAATTCGTTTAAGCAAACTATAACCTCAAAAGCTAAGAACGTATCAGCTAACTTTCTGTGTGAAGGTAGAAGTTAAAACAATGGCATGTGGGTTATTTGCACGTAATACATTACATTGGTGCTGTATAACAGATGATCTAACGGAATATGGGTTGTTTACAATGATCGTTACTAAGAGAACTGTAGATTAGTAATTGATTTGAACCTGTATGGGAATACAATCTTCTCCAGTTTACTGCCAATGAATTGCTGTGCGATTCGATTTTAAGAATAGAAATCCAAATCAGACTGCATTGATTTGGATTTATTTAAATTTTAATTACTAAAATTTAAAAGCGTACATTTAACTTTTACCTTGGTTGCTATTAGGCACTAATTTATGTGTATTAACTATGTTTTAAGCCACAGTTTTACGATCCGCATTTTTCTTATTAACTCATCTCAGCAGATAGCTATAATATTTAGTGGAAGGATTCAGTTAAAATATAGTGTTCGTGCTACCAATATCTCGCTTATTACTACTATTATCTAGGAAGGATAACGGGGCGTTAACACTAAAAGCTACATGAAATTTGGTTACCTTTTTCATTTCATGTTGTTAAATATATAGATACGATACAAGATACGCTAGAAAAACCACTTAGCATTGAGCCACGAATTGAAAAACACTATTTCATTATATTAAACGTGTATATTTGATATGTAAATTTTGAAATTATTTTTTGTTTTAATTTTTTTTATTGTATAGATGGGCGGACGAGCTCACAGCCCACCTTAAGTGGTTACCGGAGCCCATATACATCTACAACGTAAATGCCACCACCTTCCTTGAGATATAAGTTCTAAGGTCTCAGTATAGTTACAATGGCTGCCTCAGCCTTCCAACTGAAACGCATTCTGAAACTGCTTCACGGCAGAAATAGACAGGGTGGTGGTACCTGCCCGTGCGGACTTACAAGAGGTCCTACCACCAGTAAATATCCAGACAAACCTTAAAAGTCTCAATTAATTAACGATACGTGTTCGTTTAAATTTCATTTTCAAGTTAATTTAAAAATAATCATTTATATATAATATTTAGATCCCAATACATCTCAAATATTTTACCGAGAATTACACATGACGACTGAACAGTTAACACGTAACAGTTAGATCATAAAATAACACCATTGCGAATACGAAAAAAAAAGTAATCGAAATAATAGCTCCAATAACGTTCTCATCGTAACAAGCGAACGTTTGGATCGAAAGTTTGAAAAACCAAAGCAATTTTTATAATCCAATTTGTTTCTCATAAAACCCGTTGGCCGATCTATCGGCACCGAAATTCGCACATAGTCTATAATTTAAGAGACGGCTGTGCACCGAATAACTACCGCAAGGAACCGCAGGCAACTCTGAACCGGTAGGGCTGACGAATACCTAGTTTAAAATTACTGATTTGGTTATTTATTACATTTATTTTTTACCTTCATACGCGAATTCGTACCAATATTATATATTTTCATATTTTATTTATAAACATATTTTATTTTATAAATTAATATTAGAAATGTGAAAGTGTGTGTGTTTGTGTTTGCGCTTAATTCACGTCGAAACAAAGCAAAGAAATGGCATGTCCGTGGCAAAGTGATAGAATTATGCAAGGACATTGACATAAGCTATATTATATCCCGAAAAAAAATTTCATTCTCTCGCGAAACTACACTAAACTGTTCGTTGCCCACGCGGGCGAAGCCGTGGTTAACATTATTATATAATGATGCAATGTATTATCTTAAAGCAGTAATAAATCCAAAAAGTACGAAATAAATAGTAAGCAATAGTAGCTTCACATATTTATAATAATCACATTACGATATTAATGATCGGTTATGTTTCGAATTACGATATTGGATATACGAAATGAATAATAGATATTAAAAGTAACTAGATGCTAAAATTTTGTATATTTATATTTCAGTACCGGAATTTCTGAAGCACCTTTGTAATTTGAAATTTGATGTAACGGAAATGACACTCGAAAAGCAAAACCATACATATTTTATCTATAGGATTTAAGCCTGCGAATGAATGAGCTAGAATACTTCCGAAGGTTTCACTTTCACCATAAATTAATTGCCACATGAGATTTTTGGTGTCCATGTCACTAATAATATTTTAAGCGTATGAAACATGTCGTTTAAGCGTATGTCATGTACATGTGCAATAAATCTGTCGACTTTCAACACGATGTTACGTTAATTTGACTTTAAATTTTATTTAAAGTTTAAATCATGACACTTGATAATGAATAATTTAATGACGTTACCATAAAATATTCGTATCCTAAAATATTGTTACAATATTGCTGTTGAATATTTTTATATTTAAATTTACTTATAATTATACTTTTTTTTTTAAATTACATTTACTTAAAGTTATAATTATATTTACTACTTTACTCATATGACTTTTTTATACATTGTTTTTAAGATCACGGTACTTTGTAGAGCGAAGACTTTTTGGAATGTTGTGTTTTGATTGTTCATTTGATGTCAACCCTACGCTATACCGGTTCCGTGACAATATGAATGATCACTGTCGACGAACTCCGATGTCTGTCTGTCATCTGCAAAAACATTTGGACGGGCCACTTAAACTCGATAGAAACGAATCGATACGGCGAGCCTTGCACTTTTTGCTTGCGTCCAGACACCGACATCTGGAGAATATTTCATTGTTGTCAATTTTTTGCAACACCCAAAACAGTCTTAAGCTTACTTAATTCAAAATAAATGTAATTTCCTATAGTCTGTTCGAAATCATTAAGACGAACTCGGATACAAAATGCATTGCGGTTCTACAAGATGGCCAACTAACACGATTTGTGTCGAACNCCTTGCACTTTTTGCTTGCGTCCAGACACCGACATCTGGAGAATATTTCATTGTTGTCAATTTTTTGCAACACCCAAAACAGTCTTAAGCTTACTTAATTCAAAATAAATGTAATTTCCTATAGTCTGTTCGAAATCATTAAGACGAACTCGGATACAAAATGCATTGCGGTTCTACAAGATGGCCAACTAACACGATTTGTGTCGAACTTGTTGTATTGTAGGTTTTTAGGATGGAGAAATTTATACTGCATATAGGGTCACGATGATCGATGACCTCCGAACTCGAATGGTTCATTGAGCACAGCAAGCAGCTGAGCGCTGTGAGTCCATTCAGCCGTATGACGCTATCGCTGCGCCCGTCAGTGTCGCTCCCAAACACAGATCGCGTTGCACGCGCCGCGTAATCCGAGCAATTTAAGAATTCGTTATTTACAATTTTATAAAGCGCGGGAAACTTGACGTTTATAGAAGAAAAAAATTTTTTTTTGTCTTATCTGTAAACATTGACAATTTTGTTTTATAAATTGAAAATTGAATGTGAAATGCAGCAATGTTCTGTTAGATTGTGATCGCCCTACATAGTGATAAACATTGTTATAAGATGACGTCTGTTTACAACGAGGTGAGTTACAATATTTTAAGCTGACAGACTTAGTTTTGCCGAGTAATTTTATAATATTTCCGATATAATCTATGTGATTTGAAAATATTTATAGTAAAGACATAAGCGACCATTATACGTATAAATTAAAAAAGGAATAGTTTTTAAATTATAAAATTATTATTAAAATTCATTCCTACGCTTATTTTTGCATCCGAATATTTTCTATAAGTTTTATCTATACACTTAAACATATCACACAAACGTATGTTATCAAATTATCAACACAAACAGAGCTTGAGCCCAAAGTAATATTTCTCATGCTTAACAGTTAGTTCACTAGCCGAGTCAATATTTGATTTTGTAACCGTTCGTTTCCAGCCAACGACAACATCAACAATAATATTAACGAAGCAATCTTTGATAATCCATGGCCGCAATACCGCATTTTGCTGAGATTTTCAAAATTCAAAATGGTTCCGCATATTACGATTTACGTTAGGTGTGCAGTTTGCTCATGTAAGCCTATACATATTTCATTTCGCAATGTGAAACTGTTATTATTCTAAAGAACTTCTTTGAAAATAAACACTCGTAATTCCAAATTAGGGTTAGAATGCATTACTAAAAAGAGAATACAATGTCATCTAACAAGATGGTTGTCAAACGTTAAGTAACTATGGTATGGTGTTATTACAACAACCACAGAATAGATAGGGACGTGTTTGTTACATTTAAGACTAATGCGACAAAATAAAACCGTAAACTTTTTATATAGTCTGAGTCGCTAAACGTTTCGAACCAGACTTTTATAGTAAAATAATTAATTAATGTTTTAGTTATAAAATAAATCTGTATAAAGCTCCGAGGCTTAAGATCCACAACGATGTCAATATACTCACTAAGCTTATCGATGAGTCAGAGAATGTCAATTAAGTAATCATAATTTATTGTTTAACAATATTCTTTAGTATTTCACCTGGAAGAGATCGTGTTATATCATAAGATTCATCAACTCTTGTATTTAATGAAATGGAATGAAATCGAAACTAAATAAAGGTTTTTGCACAATGGTTTTGATATTTTACCATGTTTAATATACGCGTGTATACACACACACACACACACACACACAAATATACTTCTCATTTTGTTTCATTTGAAGTCTGTTACAACTTCTCCTAATCCTATTCGCGTTTGAACATACATAATAATATATTGTTATTATGTATCTGTTAATTGATAAAATTGTTAAACTCATTCATACCGAAACGCCTAAACGCTAATGGTCGTGAAATTAATAAGGATGCCATTAATTAACATTGCGAATGCCTCGCGAATATCTTAATTAGGAGCCTCCTCGTTTTGACTGATTATCATAATTAATTATCTTCTAGATTTCATTGTATTTTTATATGATTTCTGGTTTTCTTTGATGAGTTTAAGTTTTTATTTCTACAAATATTTGCTTAATTTAATGGCTTTTGATTTTAACGACATATCGAATGGCTTTTAAAACGTAGAACACGGGAATTAATGCAATATTTACTTTGATAATTTCACGACTTTAAAACGTCGCAATTTAAAAAAAAATGATTTGTAACTTCGTAAAATTTATGATTTGGATAATCGATTCGTTTTTATTGTTAAACGGAAAAGAATAAAATCGTATAAAATGTTGGGCTAATTAGAAGAGTATAAAGTAGAAGAGTTTATTACTGGTGGTAGGACCTCTTGTGAGTCCGCGCGAGTAGGTTACCACCACCCTGCCTATTTCTGCCGTGAAGTAGTAATGCGTTTCGGTTTGAAGGGTGGGGCAGCCGTTGTAATTATACTTGAGACCTTAGAACTTATATCTCAAGGTGGGTGGTGGCATTTACGTTCTAGACGTTTATGTGCCCCAGTAACCACTTAACACCTGGTGGGCTGTGAGCTCGTCCACCCATCTAATCAATAATATATTTATAGACACTAACTATGAAATCATCGTATTTCGGTTTATACAATTGAAGTCGGCTGCCGTTTCACGATAAACAATTTTTGTATCGGTAAAGTTAAACAATAATAAATAAATAAAACTTTTTATAGAAAAAAGTATTTCTATCATACAAATAAACATCACTACAATAATTCCATACTGATTTTATACTAGGTTTTTTACCGACATTTAAGACCATTAAAAAATTACGGATAAAAATAAATAAACATACTTCATCCCTGGTTCTTTAACCCATAGACACAGCCCACTGCGTTTCTCGCCGGACCTCCTCAGTGGGTCGCGTTTCCGATCAGGTGGTAGATTCAGCGAAGCACTGCTGCTAGGGCCAGTATTAGCAACACTCCGGTTTGAGCCCCGTGAGCTCACCTACATGTTAGGGCGAAGCTGAAATAGCCTCTCAAGGCTATCAGCATAGGTAGAAAAAAAAAAGAAAAACCTGGTTCTGTTCGTTAGAATTTAAAGAGCTTCAATACGATTGTAATGCTATTTCTTGCGTTATTGATAGCGCTTTTATGTATTTATTTATAACTTCATATACTAGAAAGTATAAAGGCGGACTTAATACCATAGGCATTCTCTAACAGTCTACCTTAGGGGAGTGCAGAGATGAACCTTGGTAGGTGTAGTGTGAAGGTGATATTACTGAAACATATTTGTATATATAATATATTTTATATTTTAGGATAAGTAGTTTATGTACATAAAATTTAAGACAGTAATAAGAATTATACTCGTAGTGCTACAATCCAAGTTGTATTTTCAAACGTGCGGCTTACGTATCCCCGTGATTCGTCCACAAATTCAAGACAACGTTTTTTTTTTTATCTCCCCATCTCCCCCTCTCCATTTATTACGCTGCGTGTAAACACACCCGAATTATCTAATGTCTCTCACCACACGACATGTGTGCCTAATATATCTGGGCTTCGTTTCCGATGTTTATTTAAAACGGTTTGCGGGTCGCATCAATCAGTAGTTTTGTTTTGAATCGCGAACCACCTAACGAAAGTCGATAGCGATAAGCAAGAAATCTTTCCTTAAGCTAGTCAAGAGTCAATTGAATACGATCTGAATGATACAACACGAACAAACACAAAGAAATCAAACCACCAATATTTCTTTTTAATATCAATAATTATTCGATGTTTATTAGGTATGTCATTTTTTAAGGTGAACTTTGGCCAATAGATTATTTTTGGTCGTATCTGCCTTGACGGTTGAGAGTCAAGTGCATTGGCAGATTACGTGCTCGTGTGACTTGTGACCCGGTCTGATGTGTGGTTCTCGTGCAAGAGGTCACAGACACGTGATCGGATAAATATCACACGTATCTTTGAAATATTGTAAGGATTTTTAGTTTTTTTTTTGAAAATCATGCAAGAAGTACTTTAAAATAAGTGCGATTTCACTTATTACTATTACTATTTCACTCAGGCGACACATTATAAATATGTATAAATAATTATTGAGATAAATAAAAGGTATTTATTTACGTTTTCAATGAAACACAATTTTCGAACTTCACGAATGAATTAATACTTCAATAACAGAATTGCTTTCACAACTTTCAAATGGTTTGATAACGTGTGCTGTACATTTTATTTTCTATACAAAGTTCACTGACTTTCACTATCATTAATCTTATATTTTGACCATTATTTTCGTATCAGCGGTTGTTATAAGACGTGCCGGAAAGTACTGTACTAATCTCTTGCAAAATACGATTTCACTTGTATATTTATATGTTTACGAAACTTTAAAAGAAAAAAAATTAATATAATTTACGAAACATTTTTTTGCTCAATAAATTACGGTTGCAAATATTGTGGTCCCATTAAAAAGATTGTAGTTAACGAACGTATAGTTAATCCGTTGCATTTGTAATACAATTTGCGTGTTCTACTCGGATACTGAACTATTGGTTGTTTTAAAAAAAAACGATACGAAAATATAATTTAAAACTATTTTTACGTTTTCATATCGGGTATTTATTTTGTCGTCATTTGTCACATAATTTACGAGACAAACTATATTACCATTACCTAACCCAAATATCAACCCGTTTAGTTTCGCATCGGATCTTCTCAGCGGGTCGCGATTCCTATCCGGTAGTAGATTCATTCGCGCAGCAGCTGCTATTGAGTTGTTAGGTCTCCTTTGGAGGCACTCGGGTAGCTGTTAGCAAATCCCACCCCTCCTGGCTGAATCCGTGCTCACTCACCTGTCCTGGTGAATCTGGAAATTCCTCTGGGCCCCCAGTAATCTTTCAATCATAAAAAAAACCATTACCATTAGCATTACCAAACCTAATTAAGACACTGTTCTTAAGCGTTCTTTCTAAAGGACAAGATGCTCAATGTACTCATATGTTATTAATATGAAAATCTACACTATTCTTGAAAATTACTGGATTTATCGTGTGCCGATACAAGTAGGTTACCGCCCGATCTATTTCTGTCCTGAACGAATACGAGTCTTTGACCTCATATCTCAAGGTGTCATGGTTTTCAACTTGTAATGTCTACGGGATCCATTAAAAAAAACTTAACATCGGGCGAGTAATGAGCAGCAGAGAATTGATTTTGGAAAATAACAATCGCAAGATCGTTAGTAATTTTAAAACAATATTAAAACCAACAAGCTGTATAAATATGAACTCACTAAGCCATTAAGCTAATAACAATAAGTACAGGTCCAAAAATGTCATAAATGCTTTATAGTTAGTTCTAAAATAAACGGTTTCTTATTTACGCAGTTCTTGTAAACGTACGTTAAAAATGTTTATAAATTCTTAACGCGATCTCTCATTAACTCAATATGAATACATTTGACCCGTCTGGACATGGTGCCCATATGTTGGATGACGTCACCCGCATGACTCACCGCTCGCGTCGTCTGGTAACGATTTATATTCGAAATCTATTTGAATTTAGGGCATTTCATGAGAACGTAACAAGTCTCGGGTGTATTTAAGTAAGTAGGTATGTAGTCGAAAATTAGCTCGAATTTATTGCGTCTGATG